ATCTGCTGATCCCCCGCAGCTTGTGTCAGAGCTAATTGACGAAACATCCAGGTCATGGAACACATAGAAGCTAGCTCAGCATTTTATTGCTCCGGATGTGATGGTCATTCAGAGTATACCACTGAGTTTCCGAGTGCAACCCGACTTCTGGGCTTGGCATTATGATAGAAGAGGAGTTTTTACGGTTAAATCAGCCTATAGAATGATCAATGGAATCAAACAGCAGCGAGAGGATTGGCTAGAGCATAGGCCGAGTCATTCGAACACCGAAGCTGATAGCAAGTCCTGGTTGCAACTTTGGAAAGTGAAAATACCTTCAAAGGTTAAGGTTTTTGTTTGGAGACTAGCCCAGATGTCACTACCTACTGGGTCCCTCCGCCATGAGCGCAATTTGGCCACATCCCCTGAGTGTGGCCTATGTAAGGAGGGATATGACTCTTGGCGCCACTCCCTTTTTGAGTGCAGAATGGCACGATGTGTATGGGCGCTCTGTGATGAGGAAATTGTTGAGCATATAATATCAAACATAACTGAGGATGCACGATTATGGCTCTTCTGACTTTTTGAATCAACAAATCAGCAAGATCTTGCTAGGGTTCTAATCACCATGTGGGCCATATGGTGGGCGCGGAGAAGGGCGATCCATGACGATGAATTTCAGAGCCCATTATCTACTATGTGTTTTGTGAACAGGTATCTCGAGGATCTGCAGATAGCCACAAAACGAGAACCAATAAAACATGCAGGTGTAGCAACACCAAGAGGTCGAAGATGGCTACCACCAGGCGAAGATGCGGTAAAGATCAATGTCGATGGAGCCGTTTCCCGCTCAGGAAGGACGGGGGCAAGCGCGGCAATATGCAGGGATAAAAATGGTTGCTACATTGGTTCGTCAGTGATGGTATTTGAAGGCCTAGTGGAGGCAGCAAGTTTGGAAGTTCAAGCATGCAACGAGGCCCTCGCTCTTGCTCAAGATCTCCTACAATCACATGTGATAATAGCTTCAGATTGCTCGCAAGTCGTTTCAGATATAAATGGTTCTGCGTCATCTTCTTCTTATGCTTTTGTACTGGATGAAATTAGAACTAGAACTTTAGATTTTGTTAAAGTTATTTTTCGTTTTGAGAATAGGGAGGCAAATGTTGAGGCACATGCCTTGGCAAAGGCAGCCTCGACACTCCCTGTTGGTCGACATGTGTGGCTAGGGAACTTACCAGACATTATCTGTATTCCGTCTGTTTTGATTGATGAATAAAGCCTAGTTTCACCTAAAAAAAGGCGTGTTGATTATGTGCCTGCTACAGGCGGCGCGCGTGTACACAAGAGCTGCGGAGCGTACAGATATGCTGCTGAGACGTGAGATTTGTTAAGAACAAAAGGCTACGCATAATAGACTAGGTGCTACCGGTTGAAAACAGCTAATTGACCAAAAGCCTACAGGAGCATATGGTGGAGTTTGGAGATTTCTTTTCTCCACGGCTAAGTGCACGCGGGAAGGGCCTCTATGGTGGAGTTTTAGCTTAATTTCTTTGTACGGAGTCTGTGTACGGGGATGGTGGCGTGAGTCTATGGTGCGTGTGGCAAGAATGGCGGCATGCGTATAAGACTTGGAAGAGTCTGGAGCGTGTCGTGATAAGGATCATGCATACACAGGGCGTCAAGCAATGCACGATGTATGGAGGCGGACACGACGCAGGGTGGAGTATGGTTGCAGTCGGAAAATTTCGGCTGGGTCGGACTGGACTGTCTGACGGATAGACGGGATGTCGGTCAAAGCAGAAGACGGCGGTGATTTCAGCGACGACGACACAGGCGCGTGATGCTGATGGTGATCGACTTTTAGGGCGTGGAAACACGTGGTGCAGGCTTGAGGGCTTGTGCGGCTTCGACAAGACTATGACGCATGGTTGATTCAAGGTTGTGTACACATGAGAGCTTGAGGTCGACGGGGCGTGGAGGTGGCACGTACAACCACAATGGAGTCATGTTGAAGGTGGAGTTGGAGTCCGGCAGAAGACTTCACTCTGTGCTGATGAAGGGGTTACGGCGTAAGAATTCGGAGAGTCGAAGCCTATTTCAGCGGGATAGCGAGAGACACGTGGATCGGACTGGGTACTAGTGGTCTGATGGAGACATGATACTCGGCATCGGTAGGTGATGATCGGTGGTTCTCTGCAGTGGGGGTTGAGGCAGTGGGGGCTAGCTACCCGGGAGACTCGACCAGGACAGCAGAGGCTCGACGCGGTGATAGCGGCGAGGCGTGCGGTAAGCACGGGACACAGCGACATGCCAAGGCACTGGTGGTCAGACATGTGGTCAGACAAATTGTGCAGGGGTATTAAAGCAGTGTTGACGAGTACCGGATTCAAGTTGGTGACTGGGTCTATCGGTGCTAGTTGATGGACAGGAGTTGACCATGGAGAATCTGAGAAAGTGGCGGAAAGTCTGGATTTGTCAAAACAGAGAGAGTACATGGCCGTATATTCTGTTGTGTTCAGTGCACATGGCAAAGTGCGGATGACAAATACAGAAGGAGGCGGAGTGCTATAATTGTGGGACATGTCAGAGACTATCCGGGAAAAGGGTGAGACAACTGTGAATTTGACTCAGGGTGACACAGGGCGACGGTGAAATTCCTTCAAGTTTCAGACAGACGGTCATGAAAGAGTGGTGATGTTGAGTTCATGTAACTCTTATATGTGGCGTCCAATATATGAGTTGTTCATTTTCATGCAGACAGTGGTCGGTGTGTGATGGCGTTGAACGGATTCTCCGGAAGTTGGAAGCAAAAGATAGAGTAATGAGGAACTTAATTTTGCTCGAGTGTTGATTGTGAAGAAGATAAGAAGGGACTACAGTTGCAGATGGAGTCACATGGAGTCTGGGAGTAGCAGCGGTGCTCATGGCGTATCTCAAATCTAATGTACATGGAGGTTCGACGCACCGACGAATTCAAGGTGGTGGAGAATATTCGCCAAGGTGGAGTTTGTTAGAGCTGTGTCGAATATTATTGTACAAGTTAGGTTACGCAGTTGGACTTGGAGTAGTAATGTGTGTAGACAGGGTAGGAGTTGTGTCCTAATAGGACACTTGTATCCTAAGCCTCTCATATATAATAGGGGTAGACACACGATGAAACCTATGCCAACATAATAGCACGGGCACGCGGGGGAGCCGGCGTCGTGTGCGGGCGCCCGGGCGGCCAGGGTGCGGTATTGTGACGGTGTCATGGGAGGAGCGCTTGTAGTCATGCCCCGGGGATGTAGTCATATCGGTGAATCTCGTTAACAAATTTCGGTGTCATGCTTGTGTGATTGCTTAGTCCTCGATAGATTGACGGTAACTTCGGATTTATTCTAACACGTCCGTCAGTCCCAGGACCCAAAGACCCCTCCGCTGCCTCCGTCGGTCGTGCGGGTAGGGCCCTGCCTTCCGGCTGTAGTTCCGGCGTCCGCAGTGGCGCAGTTCCGCTGCTCCGATTGTCCAGCTCGTTGTCTGGGCGCTATAAGCCCCAAAACGATCCATCTACTGATCGTAATTTCATCTATATCGTAATTTTATCTACTGATCGTAATTTCATCTGCTGATCTGCAACTGTACAAGGTAATTTCTCCTCTGCTTTTTTTAACAAACCCCAAGTTTCCTTTTTGGCTTCCAATGAATTGATTGCTACTGATTCCTACTTCTTGTAATAGTCACTGATTGCTCCCACTACTGAACAAGACTTGTATTACTTCTGTTGTGCTGATGTGCCGTTGTATACTGCTGTATACTTAGAAGTGTTTTTTGCTGGTGGGTGTAACCGAACAGAGATTAGGTGATCCCTCTAGTGGAATGGTTCCTCGTGGGGATTGGGTGGCGACACCAAAACCCTGCACGGATTAGATCCACTAGTGGATATAATCCCTTGGAACCGAACATAGCCACATAGCTATTGAGATTACTTCAAGATTGAGTGACATACATGATACAACGACTCATCAGTCCATAAATAAGACCATGGCATCGACTCATCTGATGTACGTTCTTTCTCGCCAAAATCTCAATTTGTGAGCTAGAAAGGACAACAAGGAGCATCCGCATAACTGAATAAGCTTTGGCTGAAAAACAAGCCTGAAATAATGATGCCTGGACATACTTCCTACTGTTTTTTGTAACAAATAAAATCTACTCCCTCTGATACAGTTTATGATATACAATATGCTACTACCCATGCAAGACATGTATTTTGTTTTCAAAAAGAATGCAAGACATGTATGGATCTCTGCCATAATTAACCGCAGAGATTCAAATATTTCAGTAAGAGCAGAGAAGAGCAGAGGACGAGACGACTTAATCAGGCAAAGGTTGTACTTACAAAAAGTCGCATCTCTTGCTTTACAAGAACGAATATCCCAGTCACTGGATTCTTTCATACAGTAACAACGATTACTTGAAGACTGGGTGATATACACCGACTCATTTCAGTCCATAAAGTTGACACAGCCTAAAAGTTGTGTTGCAGACCAGCATGGTCCAGCCTGAGATTCTTGAATCAAAAGCATGTACTTGGCACGCAAGGTTTGCACGACGTGTGTACTTGCCTACGAGCAACAACCTCAATCATCTTCATTTGGACAGGAAAGGGCCTTCCCTTCCTGTTGCACAACTGCAGTAGCCCAAAGCCAATGCAATTCATCTGGACCTGATAACAGATACCTGAAAAAAAGACCCAGACAATCTTTAGATAGATATACAGGTGCTTTTGAGTTTTGACGCGTACAAAGACACCAAATAGATTATACAGATTGATGCAGCTATACATGATTAATAACTCAAGTTGAGATACAAAATGTTTGCAAACTTCTGGACCAAGGTATACTTTTGAAGAATGGGAGAACAAGGTAATGAGAGGAGGGTGTATATACCTAACTAGAACGCATAACCACACGAGGACAGCATACACAAGCAAGGGCACAGGCATCCCACTTGAAGGCAACCTTAGCATTCAGCACACGGGCTCAGTCAACCAATCGAAATGTAATTGCTTCAACCAAATTCCAGCAAGCGCCTCCTCTTGAGAAGGCTCCCTCCAAGTTGGGGCAGTCTCTGATATATAGTTCCTCGAGGGCTGGGAGCTGCTGCAGGAGTCCCTCCGGTAGTGTCTTCACCCTTGGGCACTGCCTCACTTCTAGCTTCTTGAGCACAGTAACTCCATAAATTCCATCTGGAAATGTCGTCAGGGCTTCGCAACCAATCAGAGAGAGTTCTCTCAATTTTTTGACGTTTCCAAGAATTGCTGGCACGGACACCAGCTTGGGACAAAAAGTGATGTGCAATTTTTCAAGAGATGCAGGCAACTTTGGTACCTCCACCAATTTTCCACAATTCATAACTAAGAGATTCTGGAGTCGAGGATGCAGGACATTTTCGTCATCAGATATTGTTGATGGAAGGGAACCAGTTAAGTTGGAACAGTCAAACAAGTGTAGAACTCGAAGACGATTCAAGTTTCTGACCTCTACAGCTGGCCATTGTACTATATTATTACAGCCTATAATCTGCATCACTTCAACAAAACCAAAATGGTTCCATATATTTGATTGTATTTGGGATGGTTTTGATGAGAAAAGAAAGCCACAATTTGTTATACGCAGCTCCTTCATAAATTTGCAAGGTATTCTATTCAGCTCCTCTTCAAAGGGCTCAACATTTTCCATCAAATCTCTAAGTGTCAGTGTCACATTAGAGTCACCAAGCCTCCAGAACTGAAGCTCACTAGACCGCCAACCAACTGTAGGTCCTACTTCAATGGAACCTTTGCACTCAAGGTTAGATTGCACAGACAGATTCATCAGATGGTAAAGGGGAATATCTGTTGCCTTATCCACACGTAGATCTTCAAGCAAAGGGAGCATATTGGGCATGCTTGCTAGCATTGGGCATCTGGAAATTTTTAGCTTCTTGAGCTGAGGGAATGATACAACTGCTACTTGTCCTGCCACTTCCCGGTGCCATCTCTCTAGCTTAGGCATGTCGAAAAGGTCCATGGTTTTCAATTTAGGAAAGAAGGGTGGTGGAGAAATACAGGATTCCCCACTGTCGTTATCATCATTACCAACACATATACTGGTCAAGCTATCCAAACTATCCAAACACAAGTACCAGAGAGAGGGAAGCTGCCATAATGATGGAAGATCCTTGCACTTCATGCAGTTTTTCAGATAAAGTTCACTGATATGTTCTAACTGTGTAGAGTTTTGCATCCATGATGGCAATTTAGCACCCATATACTTAGATAACACTAAAACTTCAAGCCTTTTGTGCGGACGAAGGGCCTCTAATATTCCTTCTGCATTAGTATCCACTTCAACTTCACGCCATGTATATATATTTTCCCCCCAATCGAGTGACAATCTTTTCAAATCATGCTTAGCAGACATATTGCCTTGTTGAGCATTTTCTGCACTATGCACTTTCCTCAGCTTAGTCAAAGAAAGACCACCAACTAGATTCAAATCTTTCAGTTGATCAATTCCACGGCCCACATCACTATCAATGACATAATCCGTCAATGTCTGTAAAGAATTCAGCTGACCAATACCATGTGGCATGCACTCCAAACTATGACACCCATTAAGGAAGATATGCCGAAGGCTGAGCATATATCGTATGCCTTCTGGTAATTTCTCAAGTTTGCGACAACCCGTGAGCTTCAATGTTTGCAAGCTATAAAACATGGTAATGCCTTCAGGCAGTGCAGATATATCAGAATTAGAACAATCTAGATACCGAAGATGCTTCAAGTTTGTCATATGTGTTAAGATTGACGATATCTTCAATGCTCGCAAGGACATGAATTTTGACATGGTCATACTCAGAGACTTGCCCATATCCAGAGAAGTCTTAGTCCACTCCAACTCCCTTCGGACTAATATTGTGCGGGCTCGGGGAGCTAAAATTTTCTTCATGGCTGCAATAGTATTGTTACTCACATAATCAAGTGACAAATGTCGAACCTCATGCTGTAACGAACAGGTGTTTGTGGATCCTTGCATAATTTCTTGACATGATGAAGATTCTTGCAGAATGGAGCAATCATTTCCGCTTACGAAGTTAGCGAGGTCATGCATGAGATCATGCATCTTGCAAGCAGGTCCACGGAAGAACTCATCTTTAAATCTGCCCATAGGATTCTTTTGAATCTTGACATCTTGTAGGAAACATCTCCAAACTAGCACATCAAAAATTTGCTGGCCTCTTACTTCTGATGCAATAAAGTCATTTGCCATCCATAGCTGGATTAACATGTCTTTATCCATTGGGCTATCCTTGGGGAAAATAGAACAAAAGGAAAAGCATATTTTTTCCTCTGATGACAAATGATCATAGCTCAGTCGTAGTGCAGGTACAATCCCAGTAGTTGTGAGAATGTCATCTTTCCATACATCGCTATCCAGAACAGAAAACCACTGATTGTGATTCTTCGAAGGAAGTAAAGCGGCTATGGTCTTGATAGCAAGAGGCAATCCTTTACACTTGTCAACAATGTTCTTTGCGACTGAAATAAATTCCTCTTGCCTTTCTACTTCTCTTCCAGATGTGTTTCTGTCAAAGAACTCCCATGATTGATCATCACTTAGAAGCGATATCTGATGTGGAGGAAGTGTGCCCATGATAGATGCAACTTTGTCGCTGCGGCTTGTCACAATTATAGCACTACCTGAGCCAGCATGTGAGCATAACAATGATCTCATAGCATCCCACTTCTGTCCATCTTCATTCCAAACATCATCCAGCACTAAGAGGTATCTTTTCTTGCCCAACACTTGACCAAGTTCCTTCCGCAGTGCCTCCATCTCGGTCAAATCACACTTATTCAGCGTGGCCACTTGTATTATAGATCGAATTATTTCCATGATAATGAACTTGTCAGAGACACAGACCCATAAGACTAACTCAAAATGATGCACCATTCTGTGGTCATTGAGCACAAGTTGAGCAAGTGTGGTCCTACCAATTCCCCCCATGCCAATTATGGGGAGCACCATGACATTGTCATTACTATTATTGTGGTTGGAGTGGTCGAGCAACATCTTCACCACTTGTTCCTTCTCGTCTTGTCTGCCCACAATCTCTGATTCATTGACTTGAGAGTGTGTTTGCGGATGATCAACGTATGGTGCTTCGGTATGTTGCAGGAAGTGGAAATTGTTCATCTCTACAACCAGTTCATCAATCATCTCTAGGGCATCCTTCATCTTCCTGCTTATTGAAAGGCGGAAAACAACCGGGCTATTGGTGGTGAAGTAGCTCAGCACCTGGATTGAGAACAAATAAAACAGAAATTAAGAGGCCTCCATTCCCATATCGAAACATTAAAGTGAAATTAAAAGGCTCACATTTCCAACCTAACACCTTAAACTGAAATTATACTACAAAGAACGTGTGAACCAAATATTCAAGTGTTTGTTGTTATCTGTAGTGTTAATATTTATTTGGAAATGAATTTGCAGGCAGTAGAGGAATTCGAGCATAGGAATTTTAATTTACATAAGAATTTGCAGGCACTACAGGCAGGGAATTCATTTGCAGGCAGTGATCTGTCTATATACTACAAGGAACTTGCAGGATTAACTGAAAACAGAGCCAGACAGAGTGGGAAAGGCATGTAGGACGAGGCCGAACAGCCAGACAGAGTGGGAACCTTGCGTGCGGTGGCACGGCGGCGGCGGCGTCGTCGGCGGATCTGGGCGGCACGGCGGCGCAGCGCCTCGTAGAGGAAGTCATCGAGGACGTCGTCGGCCTGGTAGGCGGCGGTCTTGAGGTCCACCATCCAGCAGCGGACGGCGGGGTTGGTGCGGCTCTTGGCGTCGGCGTCGAGCAGGATGCACTGGACGGCGGCGAGGTGGCGCTCCAGCTTCCGGCGGGACTTATCCAGCCCCCACGCCCGCAGCAGCTCGGTCACCAGCGCGTCGCCGGCCTTAGCGGCCACGCTGCCAAGCAGCGGCATCAGAAGCGAGCCCATCTGTATCTGGGTCAGTCGCCGCCGGTCTCACTCAGTCAGTCGCCGGCGGGGGGTTGGTGAGTCGGCAGTAGCCCAGCAATAATGGGTGTGTCTCTCTCGGGACGGGCTATAATGAATTCCTTCCAGGTCTGGCCCACGCAGATTAATTGCTCCCAACTGCACGACTGGACCTCACCATGTCCCGCTGTACAGGCATCTTCAATTCGGCCAAGAGGCGTGTGTTACTTTCTGTACTGCTCTCATAAGACTAGTAACTAGTCTATGTTTTTTCTTCTTTTTTAGTAACTAGTCTATTTTACTACCTCTATAATCTATAGTATTATAGATTAGTACTCCCTCCGTCCAGGTGTATTGGGCATCTTAGCGATTTTAGAATTTCCAAATGAGTAAGGCGCGAATGAATTAAATCAGCCTCGTATCACTCCCGTGCCTCGTTCGCTTCACCCTCATGCACAAGTTTTCAATCTTATGGGCAATAACTCTGGTTGCATGCGTTTTGTGCTGCATGTTGATTGGTAAGGCGAAGGAATTGCAATCAATTAGCTCAGCTTACAAGATATTTAATGCTAATTATATCTAATAATACGGCCAATCCAATCACACCTAGATCATGGTGCAGCTCCTTAGGCGCCCAATACATCTGGACGGAGAGAGTATCATAGATTATCTCATTTATTGCCATGCATGACACATAGTAGCATCACATTTATTATGTTATGGTATCTACCTATGTTACTATAACCATCTCTCTCTTCTTTAATTGCTTACCACATAAGGCTGGTCATAGTGGGGAGTAACTTAGACTAGTAACATGCATATGTTACTAGTCTATGTTACTACCTCTATAGTGTATAGTATCATAGAGTAGTATCATAGATGGTCTCATTTATTGCCATGCATGACACATAGTAGTAGCATCACATTTATTATGTTACGGTATCTATCTATGTTACTATAACCATCTCTCTCTTCTTTAATTACCTGCCACATAAGCATGTTTGCGAGTGCCAAGTACATGTTACTACTTATGTTACCCCCACTATGGCCAGCCTAAGCATGTTTGCGAGTCCCAAATACATGATACTACCTCCGTCCAGGTTTATTGGTCCCCATTGTATTTCATGCCAAATTTTAACCATAGATTAAACTAACAAAATGTTCACACATGTCACCAAACATTATATTTTTGAAAACTATGTTCAAATACGAATCCAATGAGATAATTTTTCTTGACATGCATTAACATTTTGTTAGTTAAATCTTTAGTCAAAATTTGGCACAAACTACAAAGGGGACCTATAAACCAGGACGGAGGTAGTACTACTTATGTTATCCCCACTCCGTTAGCATTTCCAACGCATGTTTTCTTCCAATTTCTTCTATAGTACCCCCCCCCCTCCGCCGTCACTAGCTAGAGGAGGTCGCCTTGGCGAAGCCCCAGGCGGCTGATGGCGGCGGCGGAGGCTCTCTTCCCTCCCACGCCAGATCAGGTGAGGCGGGTCACCCCCATGGCGCCGGGGCGCTTTTCTCCCCCGATCCGCGTCGCGGCGGCGCGGCTGTTCGTCCTGGGCGACGGTGCAAGGTGACGGCGTGGTGCCGGGAGGGGGCGACGGAGCTGCTAGGCTTCGAGGAAGATCTGGTGGCGTCGGCCATTCAATGGGCCCGCGGGGTCATGGCGGCCTTGGCCGCGGTGGCCGGCGGCTCGGCCTGTCGGCGGCGGCTAGATACCGGGGCGGCGGCCCTGGAAGGTGGTGACGGGTGAAGCTCGGGCTTCCCGCGGTATCATGGCATGGTGCTGTCCCTATCCAAGGCGGATCTGCATCGCGGATCTCGTGGTTTTGCCGCATATTGGTTTGGACCAGAGACGGTGATGAACGTGCGGGATTACCATCGTGGCGGCTCTCGCGGTTTGTCGAGGTGGGGTGAGAGCCCTCCTCCCAGGCTCCAGTGGTGGCCCATTCAGGCAGTGGTCGGTGCGCCAGGGCTCCTACGGTGGCACTGCCATTGCGGTTGGTAGTCGGATCTAGGCGTCTAGATCTGGGGCGTTGAAGGCGGTCGAGACAGTGCACAGGTTGTCGGGTGGATTTCTTGGGACGGATCCGGGAGAAAACTTGGTCTTCGGTCGTTGGGCGGAGCCGGTGATGACGATGCCCTTATCATCGTTTCCTTCATGAAGGCATCATCGAGGTGAAGCTCCCAACCGCACCCAATACCTCCGGGGAAACCCTAGATCAGCTGATCGGATGACGGCGACATTCATGTGTCGTTACCCCCTTTGGGGGCGGCAGTCTTGGAGATGCACTCGGGCTCGAGGGACCAGCGGATGGCTTCTTCAGTGGAGCGGTGTTTCTTTCTACATATTCGCGGCGGCGGTTCTCTGCGGCATGGTGCAGTGGAGGCTTGGCGTCAGATGTGTGGTGATGTACACGAGTAGGAGGTCGACGTTGTCTGGCGTCATGGTGGTGTCGATGGCAGAGAGGCCTGACAAGGTCGATGCGTCAGTACATGCTTTGAGGATGGATCGAGGGAAGACGAAGGTGACGGCCCTTTGTAGCGTGTGCGTGTGGTACTCACTGAGAGTGCGCCGGACTGGAGTGTTACTCAGTTCCACCTATGTGGCTTGAATGGGGCATCCGGCGTTCGATGTTAGGCTTTTGTGCGATGTCTGTTTGATATTTGGCCTGGACATTCGACACCACTTCATCAAGAGGATAGAAGTAGCCACAAGTGTCATCTAGATGGTGGTCTCGGGCTTACTGTTGTACTCCCTCCGGTCCTAAATAGTCTGTGTACAACTTTTTGTGGTTCTTTTCTATTTACTCTGCGCCTCAGCCAAAACAAGTACTACTTTCCTAATCTACCCTTCCCCTTCGTTTCTTAGCAATTACTCCTCTGCATGCATGCAGAAAGGAAATTGGGCGCGTGTGGGGTGGAATGAGACTAGCCACAATGGAGAGTAACATACAGTAGTAACATACACATATCCCTAGACTATGTTACTACCTCAATAGTGGGTAGTACTACCTCCGTCCCGGTGTATAAGTCATTCGCGTAGTTCTAGGTCGATAATTTAACTATCTAAATATGTATTATATGTGACAAAAAATATATATTTAGAAACTACATCCGCGTGGAAATCTAGTGATATACTTTTCATGACATATAACACATATTTAATTCCTCAAATCGATGACCTAGAACTACGCGAATGACTTATACACCCGGACGGAGGGAGTAACATAAGTGTGTAACATGCAAAGCTTCATTTATTAGGTTATAGACTCATATTGCATTGGGACATGTGATGTTAGAGTAACTAGCTAAGTTACTAGTACTACTTCTCTCCTCATTAACTCACTGCCACATAAGCAAATTTGCTGAGTTGGACTCGATGTTACTACCGAAGTTACTCCCACTGTAGCTAGTCTGAGTAGAACAAAGCAGAGAGAGGAATGAGCCAATCCCTGCATGCTCATTAATCAGACCTGCTCCCCCGTATCTCATGCAGATCACACCAGCTTAAGGGCAAAATAGTCCAAAATATTCTACCCTAAGGGCTCATTGGTATTTGGGTTGGGAGTTATGCGCAGAAAAAAGAGGAATGGAGAAAGTATTACTTTGTAAGGTCTTTGTGAATAATATATAATATGGCCTCATGCATCTCCCAGATGCAGAGGCCAGGGATGATTCCTACTTTTCTAAAAAAATCTTGTGCATTCCTCAGAATTTAGACTTGACCTGATGTTTGTCTGCAGAATGCTCGAAAGTGTTGCTTCACATGATGTTGATCTGAACAATTCTAAAAATCGTTGCTTGACCGGATGTTGATTTCCATTCAGCGACTTCCATGCCCGGCAGCTCAGCAGTGGCAGCGCAGAGCCCAGATTCTCACGACCGCCTGTACAGTCAATCTTGTCATTATCATGATGGACCGTCCTTGTTAGAAAAAGCGTGCTCCTCCTTCCTCGAAAGACAAGCCAGGCTAGTAATGGTAAATATCGACCATGTCGTTCTGTAGTTAATTCTCTTGCCTTGCAAAATCAGTAAGTCCCTGTTTGACAGCGAAGTATTTTCTAAGTTTTTTAAAAATACTACGTTTTTCTAAATGCTATAATTTAAATTTTTTTTACATGGTAATACGTGTCTCATTTATAAAATAAAGAACCGGTTACTAGGCACGTAAGCACCGACATTACAAGACTGAAAAGATAGGATAATCCTATACAAAATACCAGCGCCTGTTCCTTTCCTCCGACACCACCGAAGCGGCCACCAAAGGAAAAGAAAACAGATCACCTCTTCACCCGAGCTCGACGCGGCTCCATCACTGTTCAGCAGCTTTACGGACCTCGAAAGTAGTTTGCCAGAAGCAAAACCATTGCCGTTGAAAGAATCAGACCGGGGCAACATGTCCCCGAACATGCCATCGAACTCTAGATCTGACACCCCCGCACGACAACGACGTCGAAGGAGGAAACGAGAACTGTCAGCCACCAACCACAAACCCAGCACGGGATGCACCATCTTCCAGCTGTCACTTGCGCAGACAACCGTCTGCGCGTACTCCTAGATGACAAAACCTCCCTGCTCCATCATGACATTGGAGACAACGCCACAACAACGGGGACAAAGCAGAAGGAGAGACACACCTGATGAAGTCGCCGCCGCCGTCTCGCCGACATCATCCATGAACCCTAACACAGCCGATCTGAAGGATCGGCAATCACACGATGCCATCAACTTCGAGACGCCGCCATGAACGGCACCGCCGGTGTGGGAGTGAAGGTGAGGCAGATTTATTCGTCCGGGCGCCGCTCCCACCACCCAAACGGCGCACCATGACCTACAAATCCAAAACCTAACTACAGAACGGAGGAACGGGGTCCCCCCTCCCTCCTGCCGCCGGAGCAGCCGGAGGGAGAGGGGGCCAATGCCCTGGTCGGCTGAGACCGGAGGAAAAAAAGTCGCCTCCCTAGTCGCTTGGCGTGGCGGCGGCTAGG